ACCAATCCCGTTATTCACATAACAGGTCCCGAAACAGACAGCCAAGCTGTGAAATATTATCAGCTGTTATGAACCCTTGGGTCACCTCTCTTGACACCAGCGTGGTACGGTGAAATGGTTATGTGTCTTCTGTTACCAGCTCATCTTACATAACAGACCTCTCTCATCTGTCCTTCGGTGTCATTTCCCCCCCCTGCAGAAAACTAAAGAGTCGTGAATGCAAGGGGAACAATTGCTTCGGAAATCTTGGTATGCATTTGTGGAGCAACGGCGTTCAGAACCCTGTGTACGATTCTTGTGGGCGCATCTCCAAAGAAAGCCCCCGTGTTGTTGACAACAGTGCAGAGAACGACAGAGATGCAAGGATGGAAGTAGGGGAAGGAGTCTGAGCAATACTTTCTGCAGGAGAAAAAAGCAAAATGTTTGAGGTTTTCGTGTGTATAAAAAGGAGAGAGAGAGAGAGAGAGAGAGAGAAAGACTGGGGAGAAGCTGGTGGCATTGGAGAAAAAAGCAAAATGTTTGAGGTTTTCATGTATATAGTAAAAAGGAGAGAGAGAGAGAGAGAAAGACTGGGGAGAAGCTGGTGGCATTTATAAAATGATTCTCCGTGTGACTCAAGAACAGAGCTATTTTTTATTCTTTTACCTCTCACTGGGATGTAGGAACCAAGGCTTGAAAAAATACCCTTTTGAAAAATGCAACTGCCAGCATTCCCAAAACATTAGGGCCCCTTTGATGATATAACAAGTGGGGCCTTTGATGAGATAATGAGATATAATTTTCTGGTTACTTTTAGAAGTCAATTTTAGGCACGTGAGAGAGACTGCTTTTTCAAAATCGGTGCTTTTCTGTTGTTGTTGTTAACCCCATGGTTTATTTTATAAACAGAAAATGTTTATTTTATAAACAGAAAAGAGCTAAGGAATAACAAATTGAGATAGATCATTCATTAAGTTGCAATTGCAACAATATAACAACTTTGTGGACAGCATAAAAGGCAACAGTGTTCAAATTACTTTCAAACAGTAAATTCCCAAGCTCTATTACAGTGGAATCCTGCAACATGGTTATTTCCACCACCACCCCCGGGTCAATCCTGGAGAAACAGGTTCTGCAGGCTTTTGCAATAATACCTAAGCCTTCAACACCTGTTTGTTTTAAAGCAAAGCAGACAAACCACACTAGCTGAATTCCGCTGTTTTGTATATCTGTTAAACTTAGGGGAGCCTTTTTTTTGTTGTTGCTGTTGTTTTTGGATGGGGGCATCTATGCATCATACCCCACACATATCCGCCAGAGTTGATCCTCCTGCGAACCAGCAACCAAACATTCTGGGAAAACACAAACAATCTAAACACATTTTATCTTGTCTGGGTTCAGCTGCTAAGCTGGATCAGTTCTGGTTAGAATTTGGATGGCAAACCATTAGGGGATACCAGGGATCTCTAGACAGGGCTAGGAAAGAATCCAGCCTGAAATCTTGGACAAGGTTAGGGTCGAAATCAGCAATATTGGGCTAGATAGATACTGTGCTTCCTGCCTTCTTCTCTGTCTGCAGAGTGTAGACTCTCATGGTCAGATTCCCATGGCCTTGAGAATCCAAGCAAAGCGCTCCCTTTGTGTGTGAGAAAGACAGCGCCCAGTGGTCTCAACAAGATTCATGGTCCTAGGGCTACGGACCCCCCCGGGCGAGCTCTGTGCAAGCAAACCTGTGCCAGGCCATTGCCAGGGAGATGTTCTTCATGGCTGAAGACTCTCGGAGGCCGTCCTTGTGTTGGAAATGGTTCAAGGGGAGGAATCCTGCCGGGCGGGCAACTTCGGCGTCCACTTAGTTCTCTGTGGTTGCCAAATCTCCCTGGATCAACCCAAAGTTTGAGAAGGAGGCCGGGCAGCCCAGCCACCCAGCCAGTCTGATGATGTGTGCTTGGCCACTATTGTTTCTGCACTGTTCTATCCTTGTACAGTCGTGCCCCGCTTAATGATTGCCCCACATTATGACGAATCTGCATTACGACAATGTTTTTGCGATTGCAATTGCAATCGCAAAACGATGGTCTGAATGATTTTTTTTCGCTTTGAGAAGATCGGTTCCCTGTTTTGGGAACCGATTCTTTGCATTACGACAATCAAAACTGCTGATCATCGGGTTTTCAAACTGGCCACCGCTGTGCTTAGGGATGGATTCCTCGCTATACAGGCACTGAAAATGACCGTCATATGGAGGATCTTTGCTGGATGGTGAGTTTTTAGCCCGTTGGAACGCTTTAACTGGGTTTTAATGTGTTTCAATGGGTTTTTAATTTTTTGCTTTACAATGTTTTCGCTCTACAGCGATTTCGCTGGAACGAATTAATGTCGTTAAGCGAGACACCACTGTAACTTCTGGAAGATCTTTTCCTACACTTCAAAAGAAACTAAATCCAAATTAAATAGGATTTGTTGGATTTCTTTTTCTCTTAGCAATGTAACCACCTTCTGGACAAAGGCTTTTTCTCCACCCTGAGAGGGCTAATCTATTTACTTAGGGTTCAATGTACCTGTCAGTCCACCAACAAACTTTCCATATCTCTTAATGACCATAATTAAGATCTGTATCGGTCACACACACAAACCAGGCAGTGGTGCATTGGCACCTTTAGAAGGACAGGTGATCATTGTGACAGTTTGCAGAGCCACCTGGCCCCACAAGGAGACTCTAAATGGTGCAGACTGCTGGAATCTGGAATGGGTACATATCAACAATTAGGGCTGGGTCTTTTGTAAAGTTAATGGCTCTCCATTGTTCATTCAAGGACAAGCTGTTCTCAGCCATTGCACAAAAACCTCCTGGAAGCAGGAGAACTCCAGCTAAGTTAAGAGGGAGGAGAGAAGGTTGTCGGTGGGGTGGATGATGTTATGGTCCCTTCTAAGAATATCCTGGAACTTTGGCCTCTACAGCCCTGGCTTCATTATACCAGTGCCCCTCCCCCAGGTCTGTCAAGGATCCTCACCAACCACTAGTGGGCATCACCTTGGGCAGGATGAGGAGAGGGTTGGTGGGGTGGAAGAGGTGGGTGCTTCTCAAAGTGTAGAGAAAGCACTTTTTTGACTACGTGCAGATGGTGGGAAAATGTACTTGTCTTGCTAGCATCATGGAAAGCAGAGCAACCCCAGGGGTCAACCTTGCCAGCCAAGAATTCGAAAATTACCGAAAATTTTTGTCTCCCCCCCTCCCTCCCCAGCCTCTGTGCCCCTAATAAGCGCATGATCACAGGGGTCGGCAATGACCCAGAAAAAAAACACAACAAACCCAAAACCCTAAACACGGCAAATTGAGGAAAAGCCGAACTGTTTTGTGCTTGCTGTTATGTGACTTGAAAGAGGAAAAAAAACAAATATAATTGAGTGGACTCGTGACAAGACATTTAGGAGATGGCGGGTGGGGTAAAGGGGGGGTGTTTCCTCTCCATAGACACGAGAACTGGGAGTCACCTGACGGGGAGGTAATAGAACTGCAAAAGGAACCTTTTTTGGGGGGAATTGGGGGCGAGAAAATATTCGTTTTCTGAATAGTTCCGAAAATACTTACCTACTTGCGGGTTGGCTGGCTGGTTGGCTTGCTTAACTTACTTACTGCTTTTCTATGCCATGTTTCTCCCTGCAGTGGACTCACAGACCATTAAAAAAAGGAACATGAATTAAACACACAGGGGCTAAGCACCAGTGAAAGAAGAGAAGGAGGGTGCCCTCTTCTTTGGCCTGGTGGTGCCTTGACCTGGCGGCCCGGCCACTTGTCTCCTTAACCCGCCTGCCCCAGGAAGGCTGGCTCTCTGCCGCCACAACCCAAGCCCGCAACCAGCACCCCTGCCCCCCAAGGCCAGCTCCTGCAGAGCCCTGGTTAGGAAGGAAGGCCAGCTCAGGGGACATGATGCCAGTGACCTTTCCCCACACACACACACCTGACTTTGGACTGCCTTGCCTGGGTGTGCAGTGCAAAGTCCATCCACCTCCAGTCACTGCCTGCAGGTAGTTCCCTGGTTTCGTTAAGCGCCCAGCGTGTCCTCGTCCCAAGAGCAAAAGGTTAGTGTCGGAAATTTGATTTCCACGCCCTCCCCAACCTCTCCTTAACCTTCTTTGCCCTAAGATGACACAAGCTGTATTTTCTTTTTAAAATCAGGATTTAGGAAAGACCTCCCCCCCCCTTTCCCCCTTTTTTTGGACTACAGTCCCCAAAATCACCGGCTGTGAGGGCCAAGGATACTGGGATTTGTAGAGAGAGGGGCTTTCCTCGAACTCTGAACGATCTGTAGGTTCAGAATGGAACTTAAGTGTTGATTTCCTGGTGTCCAAGCAGCTAACATCTTGGTGGTGGTTGTGATGATGATGATGCTGACGGTGATGATGATGATGATGATGAACCTTTGCAAGGAGTCTCCAGATAAGGCTAGGAAAGGCTTGTGCCTGGAATTCCAGCAAAGCCTCAACAAGCTGAAATCGTGGGCAAGGGCCTCTCCCTCCACGTTCAGTGTTCAAGCTGAATTAATGTTGGCGTGGCAAATCTGCACTGTAATGTGTGAAAGGGTTGCTCCGTATTTTATTTCCCCTTTCTTTTTTCTCCAATACAGAAGCAACCTATTTATTTCTTGTAGGTGCGCTTGGCAAACCTTAACAAGCGCACCTATTCCTAGTGGCTTGCAAGAACGTGGGAGCCGGAGCCTGTACACCTCGCGACACGCGTTAGGGAACCCGCGTCACGTGTGAAACCCCGACGGAGCTGGGTTCTGACCGAAGCCGGTTGCGACGTGCCCCTTTTGAGCTGTTTCGATTTCATTCCCCAAAAGACCACTTTCTGAGCCCCAGCGCTAAGGCCTCGCGGTGCCTTCTGGGTCTTGTAGTTCTCCGTCGGGCAGCCGCTGCGCGCTAACTCACCGAGCTCGAGGGAGCCAAGGAACTACATTTCCCAGCATCCTTGGCAAGACTTTTTTAAAGCGATGAGTAATCAGGAAGCCGGACTCCACAAATTGCGTTGCATCAGTCCAGAATAGGGGGGGGGGAGAGGAAGAGGACTCCCCCAACTCTGAAAGCGCACCTCCTCCTGTGCAAATGTCGGGGAGCGAAATATAAGCCCCCAAAACTGCATTTCGAATGCTTTTCTTGCTTTTTTCTTTGGATTGCTGCGAAGGACTAAATAATGTGGATTACAGCAAGGTAGGTATGTGTATAGAGGTCTGCAAACCTCTTGCAACATCGCTCCGGAGAATGTTTTGCTCTCCGGAAAATACAAACTATCCAGTTAACCAAACCAAACAAAAGGCTGGCCAGACGTGGCTGCGGGTTTTGCATTACCCTTTTCCCCCACCCCGGGTGTAAATAAAAGGGGGAAAGAGAGACAGACAGGGAAAAAAAAGAGATACATCGTTTATTGCTCTCTCAGAGAGAAAACATCCCAGAGGCTTGCTTATTATTTCCGCAGGCTGGTGGGGGCCGTTTCTACTGGGTTATCTTTTCAGGAATTGTGCCTTCTTTTATCCCCCCAGGAACAAAGTGGTATTTTTCAAAGGGGGGGTGGAGAGCCTCTCACGCTGGTCTTTTGCAACCTGGCTGGCCACAATTTTGTTTGGGAAAGTTTGCAAAGTTTTAAAATAAGTTTTTGGCCCCAGCCTTAACGGGAAGGGAAGGGTGTGTGTGACTTTTTCCACCCTCCCCTTTTCTTGTCTTGGCTGTGCATTATGTTGGCATGACTTCGACCAGCTTGATCCTGGAGAAAAAAAGCCCCTGGTTTGTCTGTGTCGCCCCCCCCCCAAAAAGCTTTTGATTTCGGGGAGCTGGAGAAAGATGGATGACTGTATTTCTTTGAAGAGCCATTGGAGCTGATCCTGCCCGGCACTGGGCGTCCTGGACGGGTCACTGGGTTTCTGGAAGAACAAAGGCCTCGTGCAGACGGTTGAAACTGGCTGTCAAGCACTCCTTGGCAATGAACGGGGCAGTAAATTTGGAAAGAGAAAGAGAGAGAGACGGGTTCAGAAGGAGTCTCGTGGTCTCTGGCTAGGGTTATCCCTTCAGTTCTGCAAAGACCTGACAGCCAAGGAGGAAGGAGAAGGACATACGGTGGTTTGCTTTTCTTAGGCTTGGAGGGGAGAGAGGTTTCCAAGCCGAACTTGGGAAAAGTGGCCTTTTGGGGGGCCCAGAACCAGGTTGGATTTTACCCTGTGTACAAGATTTTGGGGATCCCTAAATAAATTAGATTTGTTACTGAGGGAGCGGATGTGATCATTCATCCCGGAAGCTTCCAAGGTTGCATGCGCCCACGTCGGAGGAGGGTTAGGGTCTGTTGGGAATCCTCCAGTATGTCATCGAGTTAGTTCTGATTTACGGTGAATTAGGAATGAGTGAGTGACGTGGTAAACATCCCACCAGGGACAGCCCTGTGGTTGCTTCATTCTTGACGCTTGCAAACTGAAGGCCATGGCTTCCTTTTTGAGTCAGCTCATCTCACCTTTGTTCTCCCTTTTTCCCCCTCTGCTCTCGGTTTCTTAGGAATGAGTGAGTGACGTGGTAAACATCCCACCAGGGACAGCCCTGTGGTTGCTTCATTCTTGATGCTTGCAAACTGAAGGCCATGGCTTCCTTTTTGAGTCAGCTCATCTCACCTTTGTTCTCCCTTCCCCCCCCCACCCCTGCTCTCGGTTTTCCCCCTATCTTTTCTGGCAGGTCTTGTTTCTGCATGATCCAGTATCATTACTGCTTTGAAAGGGGATGGAGAAACAAAGCAGAAAACTAGCCTGGCCATCTGCCGTTCTTGCAACAGCCAGTTGTAAGGAAAGTCTTCAGTTGGAAAAAATCTCAGATGCTCCCGTCCGGAGCTTTTGAGATTTTTCCTTCTTTTGACATATTAGCTTAATTTGTTTTGTGATTGGTCTTTGGGTGTCTTGAATTCAGGTGAGATAAAAACACGACAGCTTAATGGAAGCCAAACGAATCCACCCCTGTTTGAGAGACCTGAGAGGATCACTGTACTGTCAGAGCAGAGACGTTAGGCTTGGCCCCACTAATGACTTGGGGCCAAGTCATTTCTTGATATTGACTTGATCGGATAACCCTCTCTGATTGGCTTTAATTAAAAATGGCATTTAAACATTCAGGGGGTGAAATAAAAGATCCTGCAGTATGTTGGAAAACCGCAGAAAGAATTAAACTCTTACGCCTTGGGGACGATTTAATAAGGCATAATGCATTTATGCATTACACAGAGGAAAGCCAGCTTGAGTCCGTTGCACGTTGTCGCCTTATTGTGCTTGCCTTTCCCCCAAACCACACCCACCCCTCATCACCATAGCCTGCTTGAGATGATACAAGGAGTTGTAAGGAAGAAGGCAGGTGGCCGGATGTTTGTAGGAAGCAATTTTTAAGTCCCCTGGGTGGCATAATGACTTGTCATTTTGATATGAAACACCTGGAAAAGCAGGTCAAACAAACCCCACTGAACGTCAGCAGAGAGATGATCAGAGAGGTTGGGGTGGAGGAGAAGGAAGGCTGGAGGTTTGGTTTCAGTCCCTGGGGGGTGCAGAGTTAGGAGGAAAACTTCTATCCCAAACTAAAATTTACATTTCCACCAAGCATCTTTTTCAACGCCGCGGATAATTGCCGCCAGCTCATTGGCACCGTTCTCTCTGTGACATGAACTCCAGTGCTTCTTATTTCCGTAGTTACAAAAGACGATATGGAACACACCATTTCTCTCCCGTGGCCGCCCTCAAGGACGTGTTTACGCAACCACAATATTCAAAGTGAAAAGGGCAGATTTCCAATTTGGCACTTAACAACATGATGTAACAAGAAATCAGGCTTTCTCAGTGGTGGCCCCTATTCTCTAGAACAGGATTCCAGCAGAGATGTGGCAGCTTCTTTCCTTCCTTCTGTTCAGGAAACTACTCAAAGCGTTAGTAAATAAGTCTTCCAGTTGCTATCTATTAATCTTTCATTTTTATTTTCTTGCTTTCTCTTTTCTTCTCTTTTTCCTGATTTTTTAAAAAATGCCCATATTGTTATACTGTATATTTTGCCGTGTGGGGGTCTTCAAAATTTGTGACTTGTAACTTTATAACCTGTGTAAACCACCCAGAATACTGCATGCATTAATACAGCAGCATATCAATCAATCAGTCAATCAAACCATAAATTTGTTTTCTTCAAATACCTTTCCCAGCATTTACGTTGGCCTCTCAGCTATAATTTTGGCTTCAGCCCATTTCCTCGTACCTACACCCCATTACAAGAGACAAAATTAGTTAGAAACATGAAGGAATGAGCTAGGAATCTTGTGGGGGAATGAGGCTTTCATCAACAACCTGGACAACTTAATGCTTTTGGACTCCAGAACCCAGAATCCCCAGGCAGCCTGGGTCATTGTATGGGGGATTATGGGAGTTGTCGTTATGAAAACATGTCCTCATCCCATCCCTGTCCTTCTGGTAGTTTAACGGTACAGACATGTTTTTAAAAATGTCCTGCAGACACTGTAACGGTGCTCAAAGGTGGTTAAATACATGTTTGTTGTCTGTATCCACATATCCATTTTTAAAAAGACCAACGTGTCAAATAACCAGAAAGTTGTTGGACAGAGAGAAAGAGCTCGGCCAGATGTGTAGTTGTCTTGTGCTTCTCAGGTTGCACCAGCGCTGTCTGCCCTAGCGCTATCTAAGAAGCCCTGGTTTGCTAGCAGCTGGCAGACTATGAACTAGAACCATGATTTGAAGTTGCTTGTAAATCCCTGTATGGAGAAACTATGGTTTGACATCACATCTGCACTCACAACCGTGGTTTGAGATGTTGCTAGATGGGATGGCTTCTCAGGGCTTCTCCAGAAAGGTGAGGATAAACAGACACAGAGATGACACAGATCTCTGGAGAGCAGCTCATGGCTTGCCTGAATAC